ATGCCATCGGGGCAGGCGTGGGCAACGCGTATATCCAAACAGGGAATAATTAGAATAATAATGGACGACACGGTGTCCCGCGGTGGCGTTCTGCCGGTCCGTGCGAACGAACGAACGAACGAACGAACGAACGAACGAAGAGGAGGAACGAAGGATGCGAGCCGCGACTTCAACTTCGTTCTTCTCTGCTTGGTATGTTTGCACATTGGGGAAACCCTCGAAGTTGCTGCATCCTCGCGGTCTGTTTGCCCTGCGTTTACGTGGAAAGCCAGAAATGTCGAAGTTTGCTTTGGGCGCGGCGCGTTTCGTCGCCGACGTGACTCTGTCTCTGCGTGACTTGAAGAGACGAGTGTCCAAGTTCAAGGCAGCCGATGCCACTTAGCGAGACAATGTTGAGGGTAAACAAGGCTCCGACGCGTCTCCCCGCCTCGATGCCTTCGACACCGAGCGTTTGTCTTCGCGCGTGGGAATGCACGCGCGAGAACAACGAAACCGTCTTTTTTCAGAAGGTTGCTGTGCAGGCCAGATTCGTCCTTTTCACAAAATTGCCAAGCTACTCGCGCAGTGTGCGTCCTCGTATGCACATGTACGGATGAATTCGCTCGATCAGGATTAACGTGCAAGCGGAAGCTAATATTAAAATTGTCTCGACGTTGGAATTAATCCGTTGTTCAACTGTGCAAGCTGCACAGTTCTGCAACTGTGAATCAACGCGAGCGACACCTGATGCTCTGATGTTTTGACGTATGGTTTGTGAACTTTCGTATATCGTTGCGACAGGATTTTAGAAATAAATCGTCAGTTCTCTGTGTGACATTCGTTTCCGAACGTTTCGTCTCTTTGATCGTACAATTAGCTCGCTACACCAACGTGGAAATACGTAGGGGACCAACGGACTTGATTAATCAATATTTTTCGTTGTCAGATTCTGTTAGTCCTCCATTGCCTTTCGCGGATTATCTTCCGGTCGTTTGGAACCTCTATTAAAAACTCTGTATAATACCGCTGAATCTTTAATAAAAATTAATTGAAATATCCTTATACAAAAGCTGATACTTTAGAGTAATCGCTGGAATTAAAGAGATCTCTTAACATTTTCTCAGTTTTAAGTATATATTTAACAAAGGCAAAACAAATAGATAAGTTTGTTACTTTTCAATAATTTCTACCCAGTGATATCGCACCGACGAGTTCAAAAGGAAAAGAAAGCGACGAATTATTGCGTACGGTTCGGTCACTCGTTACGGTCCGCAAACCAGTTACCAGCGCAAGGGGTTAAATTCTATTTCATATACCGCTCCCCCTCCCCGCATAATTCATACCATTCATAGAATATCGACAATTCTATTTTCCGTCACTCCTCGATGTTTACACGAAAATTTCCACGTACGTTTCGTTTCGATTCTGTTATCGCGCGTTGCCGCGTCCCGAGGTAATGTCACGGTTGAAGCGATCATCGACGTGGAGGAACGAACGAGGAAATGACGAGGAAGTTTGATGCAGCGGCGCGTTCGGACAGGCCATCACCTTCGGTCCCGTGATTCCTCCTAAGGTCGGGGTGAAGGAACCTTAATGACTGGATAGCAAGGGCGGGGAGGGGCAGGGGAGGAAGAGGAGAAAGACAGGGATAAGAGTTAAAGAAACGGTGATCTTGTCCTCCCTGGAACAGGCATGCGCACCTGTGTCGAGCTTTACCGATGTAACGTGCCCGATCCTTTAGCGAGTCACGATGGCCAGGCCTTCTTGTACAAGGTTTTCAGATCGACGCGACATCCCGACTAGGAAACCAGTACAAGGAAGTATGGAACGATCGTTGGAAGGAGCTCGCGCTCCTGGGAAGTCGCTACGACGAATGTACATGAAATTTCGCGGAATCGAACGTGACTAGCCGAGTTTTGCCGTCATCTAGAGCTGCCAGCCGTCGTTCTTTCTTCTCTCCTTCTCGCTTCGTGATACGTGTGCAAGCATCGTACGAACGCATCGGAAGTAACATAAGCGGGCTGAAAGTTTCTGTGTGTCTCGAAATTTTTGTACCCCACGATATAAATTTAACGTATCTTGAATGTTGTCGAAGAAACTTTGCACACCTTTCAGTGTCTCATAAAAATCTACGGTCAAAAAGAATTCTCAAGATTTCGATTTCCCGCAGTCAGCAATTCTCAAGATAGCGAATTAATTTCTGCTCTGTAAATACGGCACGTTTATCCTAACGTTTTGTACTTCGAATAATAATCCTTCCGCGTACGCTCCAAAGCCCTAACGCCGATTCACTTTGAACGGGCACCGTTTCAAGAGCTTTCGAATACTGTTACAAACAACCGTAAATAGATTCCGCGTATGTAAAACACGCGAAGCACACGCGTATGCAAATCGAGGGTAACGAGGCGTGCGCAGCGGGAAGTGACTCACTTATTCTCCGGATGATTGACAGGCAATGGAAAATGAGGTTTAACTAACTCGATAAACGATTTTCAGGTCTGCGTGGGATCGAGCCGGCAACGTACAAAGGGGAGAGAAGAAGAAAGATGTGTGTGTGTGTGTGTGTGTGTATGTGGGATCGGAGCACAAGCCAGAACCGAGCTCATCATTGTCCTCGTGGTCCAGGTGTTGAGTTTTCTCTCTCTCTCTCTCTCTTCGTTGAAAGGTACGACGGGCGTTGTGATTAATATACGCGCATCCGGCTGGTTGGAATAATTTTCACCGGCGCGCACGGTTCTGTAACGAAGCTTATGGCCGGCGCGCGCGATGCCGTTGTCAGTGACACGCAAAGAAAACGAGAAGATCGACGAGCCTCGGTGTACGAACTGGCCAACGGGAACGTTGTTCCGGTGGCCCTCTATAAATAGAATGGCGGAGTGCTTGATGATCAATATTCGTACATCCGGTTGGCTGGAACGATCCGACGGATATTCCTACTTGTATTTCATAAGAAGTAAATATTTTTTATGGCCGTAACGGAATGAAAGAGTCTGGCCGGTGAATATATGTGTTGCTCCCAGGGGTTGAAATTGCTCGAGGGAGCCGACGAGAACGTTATATCAAACGGAGACATATCCCGGGGTTGGTCCGTCGAAATGAATCACTATATTTTCACCAAATCGGAATGGATTTTAATTTTGATTCTCATTTCGTTGGGAAAATTATCAAATTGACGAAATTGCAAACTCTCAGCACGAATCGGATGTTGATGAATTTGGAGTAAGTGCGTCCAAGGTTCGCCACGATTCAATTTAATAAAACTATTCGTCAAGTTCTTTCGACTCCTGGTCCCGAAACATTGAAACGGAAGGATCAGTGACGTACATACCCAGCGTTCGATTTCAAAATTCAAAACGGTAGCAAAGTAATCAGCTGACACGAGAATCGTAACTCTGTGATGTCCAGGAGTCGTAGCAAGGAATTCCTGCCGTGAGGAGGCATGTAAACGCGGCAGACGTCTCATTGTTACGGCAAGAAGAAGGCACACGTATACATATATAGTACATATATGTATATATATGTGTGTGTGTGTAGCGTCAGAGAAGATAGGCCGCGCACGATCAGAATAATGCCTGTCGGTGTCTTGAACGAAGCAACCGGAGGTGTTAGTGGACTATAAAGAGAGAGGCAGAGAAGAACGGTCGGTTCCGTGCACGAGCCACACAGCGGGACCCTGTTGTGTCCCCGTGGCCCAGGTGCAGGGCCACCCTCGCGTCTCTTACCTCTCCTTCGTTTACCAGGCGAAACCAACACCACCAGAACCCGAAAGGTTACTCGTTGCCCGCGAACAGCGCAAACAACCACGGTGCGCCGGCTCCATGCGAAGATCAACTTCTCCGCAGAGCCTAGGGACAAGGCTCAAGGGAAATAATGTCGACGACAGTGAACCGGATGCGAACCGCGTGAACCACGAACCAGCCACCCAACGTTATAGGGCCGCGCAGCATGCTTGTCTTACCCCGTGTAAGAGAGCGCAGATACCATCTTCTTTGTCGACTCGTGTCCCCCTTGGTCGGAGCCCACCTTCGGGGACAGGTTCAACGCGACGACAAAACCTGTTGACTGTCGACGCGTCAGCCTTGAAAGGATGATAATCGCCGTTCCACCGGGGACACCCACGAAACGGGCCGCGGTCGTTAGACAATCGAGGCCTGGTAATCGATACGTTATAAATGGTGTCGTGCAACGAATCCTAGAGAGAAGCAGAGAGGAAGCGAGAGAATACGTTTGTATTCAATGTGGCGATGGTAATTAAGATTTATGGGCAAGTCGATTTCAAGATATTAAATCGCCACAGGGATAATGGTTAAGCGACGCCCAAAAGCCGCAATAATATCTTCGTTGCTCGAAATTTCTACCAGCCAGATGTCCGTGGCGGTCGTATCGATGGAGAAGTAATTTCTATGTGAGGTGTTTCTATGAAATTCAACGGTTTCCTACCCGACTCTTTGCCTCCGAATCCTTATCAATTCCTCCGTTCAATCGGGAGGCCCACCTTGGAAAGTTTCATCTCGATATTTCACGGAAACCGTACGACTCTGCGCTTTTAATATCGATTGCTCTCTCTCATGGTGCACGACGTTGATCCACGACGGCGAAGAAAACCAGACGCGAAAGGAGCCATGGTGTGCGAGGCAGTGAATCGAAAGGAGAGCTTCCGAGGAAAAAGAAACAACCGTCGCGTAATGGACTCGAAAGGTGAAAACGAAACGCGCTACTCTTTACTACTAGAGCTGGCATACTCTCTTACTATCTTATTACAAGCCTCCGCAAATGGTCTTCATCAAGCTAAGACCGTGTTCTACCGGCTTGATGCTCCCTGCTTCTTCTTTTACCCCTTCTCATCGGCCTTTTTTCTCTCCATCGGCCGTTTCTGCACCGTTCAGCGTTTCTGCTCTCCGAGGCGAGAAGAAGACCAACGTGGATGGACTTTGACCATAGCGAGCAACATCGCGAAGAAAGGGCTGGTCGAGGACGCGGACGAAAGGGAGCTGGTTCGACGTTATTAATCTCGCAATGGCCGTCACGCGCGCGGCCACGACCGTGATACGTTGGGTCGTGGCACGTCAGGATGGGTAGATACCCGGTGTGGCCTGGACGCTCCACGAGTTGCACATCCACACAGTTCATTCTTCATGGTCGGCTGACTTTTGCGTATATGCGAATGCTTGGACGATTAACGATCGTACCTTGGTTGCGCTCGTTAAGCGACAGTTTCTTCTCCCTTCGAGATGAACCAACCAACTGTAGCGACCAGGCAGCTAGTGGAAGAAGAAGAAGAAGAAGAAGAAGAAGAAGAAGAATACGACGACGACTACGACGACGACGAAGACGAAGAAGAAGAAAAAGAAGAGAGGAATGAGAAAAAGAAGAAGGAGGAGGAGGTGGAGAAGAAGATGAAACTGGTACACTCAAGATCATCCCTTCGGTCGAAGACGAATGATCCGGACTCTGAGCTGGATACATTATCGCTATGTGTACGAGGCGAGGGAGCTGCAGCACGAGCACCGGAGCGACACTTTCGTAGAATCGTGGATCGAGTACGTGACGACGATGGCGATCTGGAAGAGGTCCTCGAGAGCCAAGGTCGTACGACTAATAATAACCTGGTAGGTAGGAACCGATTTCCCCATGGATCACGACCGGTTGCTTTCGAAACGGGCCGAAGATGTGGGTTGATCCACCTTCGTTCTCATTATGCACTGATCGATGTATTCCATGGGTTTGTCGATATATATACATATGGTTACTCAAACTGATCCATGTTATATTTCAGAGTGACAACTGGTGAAATTGGCGACGCGTGATCAACGTTGCTTCATACCTGTCGATCATCTACGATCGCTAGTTGCTTGCGAAAGAAGTTGAAAGAAGTGGTAAGTGTCAAGTGGCAATTTTATTACAATTTAGATTGTCTTTTTACAAGATTACTTGAATCTTTTGTAAACTTTGCTCCTCAATTTCTGCTCTATTGATTCCCCTCCCGAAAAAGATTTTAAATGTTTGATTTAATTTTTGTGAGATTATTATTTTTTTTTTTTTAAATAATTTTCTCAATAATAGAAGCGTGGTCACAAAAATATTATCCCGTCGGACAGCGGTTTTATTGAATTTATAGAAAATAGGACGTGATCGAGCAACCGTGTATCGGTGGTTACATAATTTTCAATTAGCCCATTGCCAGCGAGTTTTTCTCGTTTCTCTTTTGCGCAAATAATCGTGTGAAAATTCAGACAACAATCGTAGGAAGTAATGGGTAGGGTATAGACGAAGATCGGCGAACATGTACCAATCACCATACTGATTACGGGGATTTCCTCTGTGTCACAGTTCCGCTCCATTTTCTCCTCTTCTGCGAGGAAAATGAGATGAAATGGCAGAATCGATGGATCGTTAAAAAAAAAAAAAAAAAAAAAAAAAAAAAAAAAAAAAAAAAAAAAAAAAAAAAATCAACGAGAAAAAGAAAAACGATCCACGAAGAAATCGCAAGTGACGAAATACTAAATTACAAAGCCATAAAAGCCAATCAAACGAAAGAGAAAGATGTTTTTAAATCTCATTTATTCTCACTTTTTTGATTGCTGAGTCTCGAAATAACTAGTCTTCAAGATAGAAAAAGAAAAAAGTAAATAATACAGCAACTATCGTTTTTTTTTTTTAGTTCAAATAAAGATCGTTCAATGACAGACAAGTTGACGTACACTAATTTCCAGCACTTTACTTTTTACCGAGCATTTCAATTTAATCTCACTTCGTCCGTAACGAAAGGATAAAAATTCCCGTTGGTAATTCGAAGAAGGAAGTAACGTCGGGCAAAATACAGGTCGGACGTGTTTAGAAAAGTCTCCCGGAGTGGCCGCCATACTTCGAAATCAGTCTCTCGGATCGCTCTACGAGATCGGTTAATGGCGTTAAAGCAGAAACTAAGCACCGGTTAGAAAATTTACCGTTACCACCGCGGCCGATTACCATTGGAGATTAGTTCTCGCCCGAGAATCGCGTTTATATCTACTTCAGCTTCGGAGATGTTACGTACTGCCTTTTCATTCTTCTATTCCCCCTGCCCCTCCCCTCATCCCCTTCCTTTCCGTTTCAAACCCGATTAAAACGACCGACTCGCGTGCGTTTCATCAACGGCAAAGTTCCATCGATTCCCTTGGAAATTTGTATCTGCTCTCGCGCCGCGATATCGTTATAACGAAAGCTTAGCCGAGCAGTTTATAAATCGTTGTTCCACGTTCTCGTCGATCTTTCTCGAGCCTCGAATTAACCATAAATTCTATAATCGGGCTGCACGCCGTTAGGCGCCGTTCATTTTACCCTTTGCGTCTTCTTTTCTTTTCTTTCCTCCATTTTGCGCCGATCTCTCGGTGCCAGTTACGAGAGAACAAGTTACTACAACGTTACATTACGTCTTTCTTCCTCTTCTTCTTCTTCTTCTTTTATTTCTTTTTTCTTTTTTTCTTAATTTATATGGCTCTGTTAAACCGGTTTTCTGGCATATCTATAGTCGATAGAGGATGACGTCATAAAAAATCCCAGACTCGCGTCAAGCCGCGCGAAAAAGCCAAGGAGTAGGAACGAAATCACGCTTATGTTTCTCGTTAACTCGAACACTCGTTCGATGCGGGATGTAATTGAAATTTTAGAAAACCTGAAGACGAGTAAGTCTTGCAGAGATAATCTTATTCCACCGAAGAGTTTTTCGCTTTTCCTTCAACGAGACTTTTGCATCTTCTTTATATACATTTGAAAGACAAATTTCGAGATTGGCACTCTGTTCTAAAATCTGCAGAGTATTACGATCGTTAAGCTGTTCTTACCATTAAATAATTTGATTTCGTACGGGGGCGAATAAAAATATTTTTCAACGCGCAACCACAAAATGCGAGAAATCCCGATCGATGCGAGTGATATTCGCGATGACGACCCTGTTAGATGAGACACCCTGTAGAGAAAAACGGTGCCTGAGTCGGTCCGATCGCGTACGCGTGCTCCCTTGATTCGCTGTATAATGTTACGCGCTATTGTACTTAATTCCAGCGCTGTTACGGTACCCTGTTCGCCAGAACCGCGTGCACCGGCACCGTCCCTTCGCGGACGCCTCTCTTTCATTGCCAACTGCAATAAATAACCCTAGCCAGCCTTCGAGGATGCGCCGAATATGGAAGAATTCGCTGGAATTGAATCGCACGCTCCCGCCGATAGCGAAGCGGAGTCGATTCTTCGCTCTTCCCTCCAGCGGCGGTTTGTCGCGCCAGTCAGTATTCTCCGCTTGGAGAATAACAGGATCGGGGTTCGAGGCTGCTCTGGTCGTGGCTCGTTTTGGAAGACGACTTCGTTAGATTTCCGAGATCACTGCGGAACGAGTTGAACAGATATCCGAAACTTCTCTGACTCGTTGTGTGGCAACTCGCGGTGCAATGAAAATTTTCATCCGGGACGAACAGAAATGATCTCAAAAAAAAAGAAAAAAGACTCCACATCGTTTGTGTTGATAGGATGGATAGAAGATATTTTCAACGAATATCTGTTTAACTCCATGCGTTGGCGGACCATAACGAGTGACCGTGTACAATAATTCGTCGCTTTCTTTTTCTTTTGAACTCGTCGGTACGATATCACTGGATAGAAATTGTTACGAACTAACAAACTTATCATTTGTTTCACCTGGATTACATTTAAATGTACATAAAACTGAGATGTCTCATCTTTTATATAAGAGGTGTTATGATAACTGGTTATGGACAGACCAGAAACTTATCAATTTCGTATTTCACGTAAATTGTTACGTCCAATTGATACATTAGAAAATCATTAGAGAATGACGGAAACGTCTCAATCTTAACCGTTATCAATTGATTGCGGACCATAACGAGTGACCAAATCGTACACAATAATTCGTCGCGTTCTTTTTGAACTCGTCGGTATGACGCCACTGGATAGAAACTATTGAGAAGTAATAAATTTATTATTTGTTTTGCCTATTTTGTTTCACTTAAGTATACCTAAAATATACTGTGAAAATGTTGCAATTTGGGGGAAAAAATTCTCAAGTTCTATCTATTTAAGTCTAAATCTATCTATTATACTGCGTCGATAAAAACATAAATTTGCCTAAAGATCCGCTGTTTAATTACTTTCTATTCTTTCGCGCTCCGATTTCTTTGATAAGAATTTCATTCGCCAGGTGGTTCTGGTTGATAGAAAGGCCTCTGTTACCGGTTATTTCGTGAATAAAATGGCACGTATGGCGTGCATGCTCGTGCCTCGCCTTCTCTATACCTTCATGCAGCCAGAAAAGAATACATCGAAGAGGAAACAAGTCGAAAGAGAAGGGGGACAAAGACGGATAGGTCAGCGACCGGTTGTCAGTGACAATTCCAACGTGCGACACACAACCAGGCATATCCACATTGTTTGAACAACTAGGCCAATGGTGCAGGTTCACTAAACTGCCGTGAACTAGATTGTACACCTTTAGTTTCGTTTGAACCTGGCACACGGGCCCGAAAGTGTTTTAGGTCACCTGTCGCTCGGCCGAATCTCGCGTGGAAACTCAACGACAGCCATTTTGCTGTATCGGCGATATCGATCATCGAGAATGATCTCTTTTAGGCATGGATTGCGAATTTAGATGATTTTTTCTTTTTCTTTTTTTCATTCGCGCTTTTTGATGGTGATTTTTTTCCGGGGCGGGAGAATGAATCGGTGGAATGAATTCAGCAAGAGACAGTTCGGAAAGAACGTTCGACTGTGACGCGATTTATTGAGAAAACCAGTATGGAGACCGAATAGTAATCGGTTTCGCAAGTATTACGTAAACGGTGTTGTAAGAGGATCGATTTATTTTGCATAAATTTGTAAGAACGACTTATGTATTTTAAAAGGAAAGAGCTAAGATTTTTACGGTTATGCAAATTCAGGTTTATTGGCTCCTTGGTGTTCATTGAACTTTCTGTTGAGGAAACACGTTATTAATGCAGGCTTCTGAGGGATTCGGAAGAAGAGTCTAAAACACGATACACGAAGGCCTCGTTGAAACGCGCGTCTAACAAATTGAACATTCATGTTCCCTGAACGATCAGAGTTTCCTCAATCCTCGATCATAACCACTCAAACTAATTCTACTTAAAGTTTCATTCGAGCAAAGAGAAAAATTAATTCGCGTTGTTCGCAGTGTACGTCACGTATAAAAATCTGTTTAAAAAAAAAATATCCAAGACAAAGTATACAAGTAAAAGTACATAGTACTGTAACAACTAGGAGATGGACTTATTCCGTCACGTTCGTAGAAATCGGCCAATTTATTAACCGACGCGATCATCGAACAGAAGAGGCATCTCGATAATATTTGTAACGTACATTGCTCCGATTTATCAGCGAATCGAAAATGTCGACCGTCCTGGCGGAAGAAGGCGAACGAAATCGAATCGAGTGGTCGATTAACGTTCTAAAAACTGTTGGTGCGCTCTTTCGTGCAATACGTGCGACGGGTCCAAAGCTTGTCGCCTCGCAGCCAATTCGTGCGCGCATTGAAATTCTCTGGGATCTCTGGGTCGGGCAGAGTAGCCGATTTTTATCGAGTACACGACCGGTTACTGGGCAGAGCTCATAAACCGCATTCGACATCGAGGCAGAGGCAGCGCCACGCAAGGAATACGAAGTATCGCGAGGTAAATCCACTCGTGGTATTTCAATCGGCCAGACAGAAACCGTTCGAAACCCGTTCAGACCGCGAATCCACGAACGCGACGACAAAGATCGTGAAACCGTGCCGCGTGAATTCCAGCACGGCGTGTCACCGTAATCTATTGATCATAAATATCATCGTTATATCGCATCTTGATCGCCACCATTATCGATAAATTG